AAATAAATATCTTAAAATGTCAAAGTCTCTATAGTAAGTCGAACCTTTTCTTTGCAAAATTGGACTTCAAGTTATGGAAGTTTGACTTTATATGCATTACAGTGGTGCTTAGTTGTGTCTGGCAAGCATTTTTTCTTGATAAGGTTGATTATATTATTTTCTAGTACAATTTTGAGCTATTTGGAAAAGTTTTAGAAATAAAGCTATTGATTATGATTATTTTTCCATATTATTATTATTAGGATAAGAGATAAAATACCGCGATCTAAAACACCCATTGTGCCCGTTAGTCGGATTAGAGTGTTTTTCCAAGTCCGATTTCTTTAGTGAAACACAGTATAGAACCTATCTTTATTAGCCTTAAATCCCTATGTTCAATGAAATACGTACCTAAGTGTTTCTTTCCCTTGCGCATCAGTGACGGGTATTTACCTAGCACATGGTAAACTGTTTCTTTCTCCTATCTACAATATATGTAGTTTGAGTTGGATTGGATTTCTAACTTTTTTATTCACTCTTCTGTAACTCTTCTGTAAGTTTTTTTTCCAAGTTACTTTCAAAGGTACTTAAAAATTATATACTCTGTAAAGAGTATTGGGGTTACAAAAAAAAATAAAGATTGTTAATGTTGATGTAGCATATGTGAACATATTGCTGTTAAATAAATCATTGGAACTGATCTATAAGAATATCTATCATTTTTATCTGCACTTCTATGAAATATCTTTGTGATCATGTATGATTTGTATATATACAAATATATAATATATAATATATATAATATATATAATATATATAATATATATAATATATTATCTTAAGTACTAGCAAATTAACTGAGCATTGTAGATATATAAAACTATTTTCAAATGTATTGGATGAGGTAATCATCCCATACATTTTTCAGATTTGAAGAACAGATATTCTTTGTCGATATTCCACTACATAAGGTTACGAATAAACATATTAACAAATTGAATCATTAGATTTATATTTATACCCACGTCATTGTTGAATGCTGAGTAGAAATCTGCTTTAAATTTTATAGGTAAATTTTATAGGTTTTATAGGTTATAGTGGTTATTTGTAAAGTAAAAAGTGAATATTCTATTGGTTTCTCAGCGGTGTTAGGTTTAATTTAGTAAGTGATAATATGAGTATGTTCTATTCCATGGAGAATTGAGGCTATGATATCCGTACTATAACATGTAGTTTGGTAGCTAAGACGATACTATGGAGTGATATCCATTTCATTTGTTAGATTAAGGTAGGGTGTATTATATCGTCTTACCATAGCTACTAAACTACATGTTATGGTACAGATATCATAGTTTTAATCTAAATACATGTTTATTCTTAAGTTTGAGGATTTTTTTAAAATTAAGAATATGTTTGCTAAAAGTAATTCCAAAACGGCCAATTTCAACTGCAAGACACTTCTTCTTTATTCCGGTCAGTTAAAAGTGTATTTATTGCTTCCTTAAAGAGATATACTTTATTTTACAATGATTATACCAGCAGATATGGAGATGTTAATCTGATAAATTACTTGTAAGATTTAATCACACCATATCACAAACTTTTTAATTCCTTGAAATTTACTCAATTTTTTGTAAAATTGTTGGTCATGTAATTTTATGTCAACATTACCGTCCTTAACATTAAATGCTCTGTAAAAGCTTACCGTCTCTAGAAATATAAAAACCACTTAGAATGTTTCATTTCTGAAGTACGATATACAAATAGAATAGAATAGAATGTGAAAAAATACTAAAAAAAGGGAATAGATATTTAATCAGTTGGAGAATATTAAAGCTACTCGTTTGTATCTGTGTTAACAGTTTTATTGCAACTCATCAGCTCAAAGGGCCGTTATGCTGTGTACTCGGATCAGAAACGGAAACTAATGGCGTTGACAGGATATTGTGCTTAATTGACAGAATATACTTACAGCAAATCAGAGTAAAGTACGAGGAAAGCAAAGTGAAATAGGGAAAATAAAACGAATCAGAATCAGAGCAAAATGCAGAAAGCAATTTAGTACCTTTTTATCTTAATCTTGTTCCTATCAGTTTTGCGCAAAGTGACAAGTATCCCATTAGAAATGCCTATTTAATATGATAAAGCAAAACAAAAGAGGTTAATTCCTTCCTTTTTGTTGATGTTCATTTCTTTTTCTATTTTGAAATAATTTATGGTTTATATTTTTACAGGAACGGAACACTTAAGTTAATTGCTATTGAAATATGGCATTAAAAATAAAATAGCTAATTTTAGAAAGTATTAAAAATAAAGATATTTTTTTCTTTAAGAATGAAGGTCATGTAAATAATTGTTATATTTTTTCCACTCAGTATAATATTGATTATTGTGCGGAGTTCTTTTATATAAAAAAAACCTTTAATTTGTGGTTTAAATCTAGAATTTTTGAATTATAAAATAATATATAATAGCAATTAAAAAATATCTTAGTTATTTAAATATAAAGGAAAACAAAGGATTTTTGGTATATACTTTATTTATATATTTTTTGTAAGTACAACTGATACTCTTCAAAATTAAATTTCTTTTCTATAATGTTAGCTGACATGAGAAGCATCTGTAACTTTATTAACTAAAGATTAAGGATAGGATCGACCTTCGTATTTTAAACGAGTAATTTTGGCTTTATTGAGGCTTAGATACTATTTACACACCATTTCGAATTGACGTATATAGTATATAATATATAGTATATTATACATTATAGTATATAATGTATAAGTACATATATATAATATAATATATATGTATAATATTAATAGCAGATGCTTTGAATTTGTTGTTTATGCTTATATCTCTTTAATTAATAAAGTAACAGATGCTTCTGTTGTATATAACGCAGCATAAGTAAAATCTGGAGTGTCAATTTGTAAGACAACTATAGTCAAATTTCCATAAGTCGAAGTCCAATTTTGTAAAGATAATGTTCGACTTATAGAGACTTCGAGTTAGAGGATTTCTTTATTTCTTTTTATTTTCGTAAGAAACTAGAATTACATTTTAAGAAATTTATTTATTTCCAACCAAATAAAGCATAGAAGTTATAGTGAAGTAAAATATTCAGAATTTAGGGTTTGGGACTTTAATTTTTTTCTTATTTTCAGTAAAAAAAGATTCCACTTTATTCATACTCTTATAGTGAGCATCAGTTGTAGTATCATTCGTTTGCAAATAGAAATTTAGAATTTTTAATGAGTCTTCTACTTCATTCTTGGAAGGCTGATAAACAATTACATCCACCGAACCCTCATTATCACTATCCGTTGCGCTTAGAATTGGATCCAGTAGTTTAGAGCTATAGTGCTCAATAATATCGTCATCTTTAGGAAAGCGTGATGTACAAATTTCATTGTTAAGCTCGGTATAATCGTTGAGAGTAGTATTGGAAGTTATTTTATTTACTTTAAACCACGCTGCCATAACAAAGAAAAAATTAAACATTTGATTTGAAAATGGGACTTCACCAAGTCCCATTCACCTAACACCAAAATGGATTCATACTTAAAACAAAAAATCGACTTATAGAATTCACTTTTCCATATTCCTGTCGGCACGGAACAAAATTTTTGTTGGAGTTATAGAGAAATTTGAGTTATAGAAGTTCGAGTTATGGAAGCAGATTTGCATGTAATTTGCTCTCTAAAACCTTGGTGCACTGTTTTTGGTTCGAGTTATAGAAAATTCAAGTTATAGAAGTTCGAGTTATGGTAGTTTGCACTGTATATAATAAATACCACTATAAATTATAAGTTTTTTATGATAAACAATATTAAATTAATTATTAATGCCCGTTTTGACGAAAGAAACTAAATTCCTAATATAAACTATTGCTTTTCAATAGAGAGTATTTAATCGAACAGTAGTGAAATTGGAACAACAAATATTTTTTTTATTACTTTTAATTAATTGAATTTTTGACCGTCCTATAACTGTCTCGCGTTTTGCCAAATACCCATTATCAGTAGACTTGGAATTATTTCTTATAATAAACAATAATAATTTGGTATATAAGAATTTATTCACATAAACTATATATACATTTATATATATATATATATGCTTTAAAATATCTTTTTAACACAAAAAAAATTTCTTTTGATATAATTAATTTTAGTTATTAATTGATCCATTTTTGTAAATTTGTTTATAATTTGTACATGCTTATATGTAAAATTTAATTATTTGTTTGGTGGTACAGCGTTAATATCCTAAGACTTAACTAAACGTTTACATAAAATTCAAAATATCTTTGTATATTTTGATAAACTTTTTATATCTAACAACAAAATGGTCAAACAAAATTATAAATATATTTTTCTACTATTATTAATTTAAATATTATCATATAAATAATGTTGATTTATATATTCTTACATAAATAATTTAAAAAAAAGCCAAGTAAAAAAGCGTCTTATTAGTTAATAAATATAACAAACTTGAAAATATAATATAAAAAATTAATAAATATCTTTTATATACATTACAATATTCAGAAGTTATAACTATTACAATCATGGTAATGTCAATATTCGCTTTAAAATTATATTTAAAGTTCATCTCACTAAACATATCCTCCATGTCACCTACTTTAAAATATAAACTTAAATTTAAGATTGCTTTACATTTTTCGATAAGCTAAAAGCTAGAGTAAAAAATATAAATTCGTGTTTTAATACGAAACAAAAATCACATTTTCTAATAGTTAGCGTGCTAATTTAAATTATTTTTGTTTCTAGCCTAATAACAGCAACTACCCGTGGGTTCCACCTCACCTAACGCTATATGTTCAATACTCCAAGAAGGAGTTTCTTGTCTTCCAACACCACTAATCTTAACATTTTCACCCTCAACTGGTATGCCCACTGGTATAGCAGATAATTGAAAACTGCCATTGCCGTTAGTCATAGCCGCTGAACTATAACTGAAGGCAGTATTGTTATTCGTGTATGCTGTGATGGAGTCGCATGAATCGAATTGACGTAAAGACCGACTTTTACCCTCTTTCATTAGTCGTACAAATCCTAAGGCTATCGTTTGAAAAACTTGTTCCAGACCTTGATCAACTTCAGCTGATGTTTCAAAATAACTTGCGCCAATCGATGAGGCAAACAGATAAGCTTCATCACGCGACACAGTACGCTGTGCATGCAAATCCAATTTATTACCAACCAATGCTAATATTATAGGATCTTGTACGTTCCGATGTAGTTCTTGTATCCAAATTTTGATTTCGGTAAAACTTTTATACTGTGTCAAGTCAAAGACTAGAATAGCTGCATTGGCATTGCGATAATACATCGGTGCAACAGCTTTGAATCGTTCCTGTCCAGCGGTATCCCATATCTAGAGAAATAATAGAAACGGTGAGTAAAAAACTTGATATTTATGTTATATGTATAAACATGTATAGAGTTATTAGGAAATATAAATTAAAAACTAGATACACTTTCGAACTACATTGATTATATAGCAAGTTGGCAAAAAATCGAGTAGTAGAAATACTAAGACATTGCTTTATCTATAAAATACTAATTAAGCTCGTAATAGGGGCAAATTCAACAGCCGATATAAAAAAAATATACTTTCTTTCGTATTTTTGCGACAAACTCAACATATCACATATTTGGGTGTCATCTATAATGTCTAGGTTGAGACTCACATCCAATCTAGCTGTCTTAGTGCACTATAACCAACAGATTTAAATAGCCTATTATTGATATAGTAATATATCTATATAAACACATTAACACAACTTGTGAAGTATTGTTAAATGAAAGTCTACTTAACTGAAATAAAACAAAGAACAAAGAGTACGATTTCCAGAAGTTTTAAGAATATATGGATTGAAGTCCCGAAGCCAAGCGACGACCAAGTGCCGTTCAATGCATTTCAAAGGGACTTTACAACGGGTTACAACAACAAACATTTTCAGATTTACAAGCGGTACGAAAGATAATATAAAAAATATTTTATTTGATTATTGCAATACTGTCAAATAACTAGGTTGGTGTTAAGTGCCTAATGAAAAAATTATAACAGCAAAGTAACAATTTTATTGATTATTTGAAGAAATTTATAATTCTCCTATAATCCTATTTGAACCATTTTATGACATTATTTAGAAATATCTGCGAAAAGGAACATACTAATAATAAATATCAAATCAAGTGGAAAACTCTACAAAACGGTTTTTTGAAAAGGAATTAAAATTCTTCTGTTTCCAACATGACTATCTTCTAACCTGTCTACAACGTAACCTACCGATATCTTAACCTTTCTATATGCTAACCAATCTATATCATAACTTATTTATATAAGGTATAGACAGGTATTAATTTGACGTGACCAAGATAGTCTGAATAACATGATAAGAAAAAGGAATATGTTAAAATATAGTTATAGTTAATGGAGCCAAAAGTCAATTGGATTCAAATTAGTTTTGAACAGACAGTTGAATAGATGGATGACATCATTTAGAGTACAGTTACAGTTGGTACCCACATTAACATTTTATCTGTTTATGTGAGACAAATAACTGTTCAACACATAATTATATACTGTTCTTAGGTGAATCTATATTGTCTTGATACAAATGATAGTTGCGTTTTTTCACATAAAAATATTGAGAACCGGATTGTATTGTAAATATGATCTCAGAAAATAATACTGCTTCGGTTAGGAGGTTTGCTTCTGTCGATCTTAATCCTATTACCTTCATAACGGTAAGTGTAATTATAATCATAATACGAATCAAAAAATATATGGATATATGGAAAAATATCTACACTGAAAGTAAGGAAATTCGAAGCTTGCGATGTAAACATAATCTTAAAAAAGAAACTTCATCGGTTTAGAAGAAAGTTTGGTATTGTAAATCGACGATCTCATTAACATTACGTCCATAATGGTAAATTTTATTTTATACACGAGTGCAAGATTCCTGCAACAAGTTGGAAATTTCCGATATATTGATGACCTTCTTGCACTGTAAATATGATCTTAAAAAAGACACTCGGTTTAAAAGGAAGTTTGCTCTTGTGAATTATCGAATTCAATAGTATTATCTCGATAACGGTCAGTGTTAATACATTTATGATAGATAAAGAAAAGCATATATGGATACTCAGGTCTCTACTTATAGATAGAAGATTTGAATGTGGCACATGAATAGAAATTGTTTAGAAGCGTTAGAAATCTTATGCTGGTTACAGATAGCTTTTCAAATATATGCTATATACTATATTTGCAATAACAAATTACTTATTTTGAGATTAGTTTAAGTAAAATGTTTTGGAATAAAAATAACTATTAACAAAAAAATAAATATATGTTTAAATAATCTCACACAGATGTATTAGACAATTACAGATATATGAAGATACTCATTTTGCTTGTGAATATGAAAAGTGTTTAAAAAGTTAAATAATCGTCATTATAATTAATCAGCAACGAGTAAAAGAGGTTTTTATGACCTATGAAACTTCAATCTAATATATTTTCATTTTTTCTAGTATTTTTTTTTAATATTACCTGAAGCTGAGATAATATTTTTGTACTGATAACAAAGATATATTAATGTTTATTAAAAGTTGAAATATTTTTAAATGTGATTCATATTAACAACGATGCATTTGTTTGCAATTTATATTTATATTATTTTTTATTCAAATTGTGTTTTATAAAATTCTGTTAGAATATAAATAAGACACTCATGAGTAATTGTCCCAAGCACTGAGTAAAACATTTAAAAAAACTAAAAACTATCTGATCACATGAAATTATGACTTCTAGAAATTTCCAAGAATTTTTGTAATTTTAATTATAAACATAACAACTGCATTGTATATCAATTCTCGTTTTTCCCTTAGCTTGCATAAAAGACTAACAATAATATGCAGTTGAACGAATTGAAAAGACCCTTAACAAATGCTTTATTAAAATTAATTTCATGTCTTTCGACTTCACTATACTTTCATTGTTAATTAATTTAATTTTAAATCATTTGTTGCAATTTTTAACGAAGCATGGAGTATAATTTTTCGCTGTATTTTTATTGAGAAAAACTCAATGAATAAATGCTTTTGCCAATGCACATTTTATAATCAACACAAAAATATTACTGATAATTTTTTCTTGTACAAAGACCTATTGAGTATTACAATTCTAATTATTTGACGGACTCGTGAAATGCATTAGATAAGATTGAATACAATAATATGTGTGCTACTTCAAATGGGACACAGAAACTTTTTTCAACTCATACATGACTTGATCAATGAAATGTCAGATAATTCGAAATAAGCAGAAGTCTAAAAGTATTTGCAACCTAATCGTTCACTGAACCTAAAAATAAAGTATAATTTATGCATAAATAATTATATGAAATATTTATATACACAAACTTACTTGGAGCTTCACTTTCACATTATCCATTACTACTTTGCATGTAAAAAATGTGGCAGATATAGTTGGGCCTATGTCTTTCAAAAGTTGTCTTTTTAGATACTTCGTCACCAGATGGGTTTTACCAACACCTGCAAAAATACAATACGTTTAAATAAATAAATATTGAAGAAACAGTAAATAAAAAAAATATATTAATGAACAACTGTTATGTATGTATTTGATGAAATCTTGAAGAATTTGCATTATGGTTTTCTTTCTGCGTAAAACAACATCTATAACAGTAATAGTTGAAGATGCATTATTGTCAAGTAATGGTGAGTATAAAATACTTTTTTGTAATGCTTTAAATATTATTTGAGCTATTAAAAGCAAATCTAATATAATAACAAATCTGTCTAATATGTTCGATCATAACACATACTTGCAGATACAGTCTCTGTGTGAAGTAGAAAACCACAACCGTCAAAAGAAGATCATCCTTAACCTCGGCAATACGAGCTCCCACATATCAACTCAAGCAAAAGAATTTTTGGGCGCTCAAAATGTCGAATCCGCCTAATAGTCCCTACTTACCATAGCACTTAATGACTTCTACTTGATACCAAACATTAAGAAAAAAATGCATGGCGGGCGTTTTTGCAAGCCCGAATAGGCCATTGAGACATTCAAAACCCTGATTTTGGAGATACCAACTTTAGAGTAGCAAAACTGTTTCAAAAATTGGTTAAGTCGAATACAAAAATGTATTGTTCATCATGGAAACAACTTCAAAAAACAATAGAACCATTTTCAATAATTAACCACTGTGTTTTCATTGTTCTACACAAGACTTAAAAGGTAAAGACGTAGTAAAGCAGTACGCCTACATTGGCTAAGTTTAAGCTTTAGTCATCGCATTCTTGCATATTTTAGTTTATGTAAAAAATAAGTATTTCTCTGTACTAGAAATATAACATGTCGACTAATAAGTCGGTATGATGACACATTATTGGCTACACCAATGAAAAATTTATATCATTTTAAAAAGTCATAACTTTGAAATGATACTTTTCAAATGAAAGAAAAAAAACATTTGAACGGTTACTCATTTAGTTTTAGTGACCCTTTTATTTATATTTTGAGAACAATTGATTCAAAGCATCTTCATGGCTTGATTAGCTATGACTGTTTTTTTATGAGATAATGTACTGTAACATAAAAAGCTTGACCCTCGGATCTGCTCCATCGAGACTTATGGTATATAAATGTTTTGCTGAACGTGACCGTACAAACATCAATGATGCCGAATGCAATGATGCCGGTCGCCCAAAAGAGATAGTGACACCGGAAAACAGCACAAAATCATTTTAGTAAACCGTAAAATGGAGTTTTAAGCTAGCTGACACTTTAAAGAATTAAAAGAAGGTGTCGACTTCATTTTGCATAAACATTTTTTTACGAGAAAACAGTTTTCGAAGTAGGTTCTATATTCGTTGACATTAGACCAAAAACTCTTGGCGGATTTAAGAGAGTATATGACGAAGAAATAATCCCATTTGACAAAGGAAATAGTCCTCTTTGACCAAAACAATGTGTAATCATTGGCTAATATGACCAAATTGCACAAATCACACTTCCAATTGCATTGACACTCACCGTATTAGCTTAATTTAGCCCTACTACCTGCTTGTAGTTCCCAAAAAAAATACTACAGTTAAAGAGATTTGATTCCAAAAAAGTCATCGTGGAAACTGAAGCATATTTTTGAGCCAAAGATAAATCATTCTTTAAGGAACTTAGTCTTGTGTAACTCTTGATGGAGACTTGATGAAGGGAGTTAGTGTTGTGTGCCTCTTGATGGAGACTACGTCGATGAATAAAGTGGAATTCTGACAAAAAGTAAAGAGATTTTATTCCAATGAAAAAGGTATCGTGGAAACTGAAGCATGTTTTTAAGCCAAAGATGAAGGGAGTTAATCTTGTATACCACTTGATGGAGACTACGTGGATGAATGAAATCAAATTCCACACAAAAAGTTGTTTTATTCGTTGTCTCACTGTATGATAACATTGTTTTATATGCATAATAAAATAATAAAAGTTTATTAATCATCACGATCACATTTAAGAGGTCGTTCGATCTAAAAAGTTTTGTACTTCTTCAGATTAGAGGAGTTAAGAAACCTAAACAATTTCAGTTTCATAAAGATTGTTTAGATAAAACATTTTATGTATTTTACAATTGAAATTTCTTTCTTTTCATTAGCGAAACAAACATGAACGTTTGCCACCAAAGCATTGACAAATTATTGCTGAGATAGAAATACAATAAAATGTAATTCCCCGAATTAGGTTAAAACAACAAAAGAGTTAAAGCATTAAAGCGTTAAAGTAAACAAAACAAAGATTAAATATTCTAAATAATTAAACAATAGAAGAAACAATAGTTAGTTCCAGACATACAATTTCCATTGTTTACGTATTTGAAGTACATTTACCCAGCATATCAAATTTATGATAAGATACTTGAGACAAGGCCAACAGTAATCCCTCTAATAGCCAAACATATATCATATTTAATTATTTCACTATATCGCTAGACGGTTGGTTACGATGGCTGAACAGGAGATATCTTTTCGCTGACCACATTTAGCGATTTTGCGTCGTTTTACTAAATGTTTGTGTGAAATTTGTGAATATCTCTCGTATTTGTTGAGACTAAACGCTTACAACTGATAAAAACTGCAGCCGTTAATTTTATTTGTTTATTTTTATTTACAAAAAAATTTATCTGTTATCTGCTTTTGTTTTCATTTTGTATTGCCAAGCAAAAAAACACACATTGCTTAGCTCATAAATAAAAGAAGGGACGCAGCTACTGTGTCAGCAGAATTTGATGACTAAATTAAATGTGTAACGTGAGGGGTTTATTTTCTGTTTATTTATACTTTATATTCTATTGTACTTTTCATTGTACAAGAAAGGCACTTCGAAAGCATTAACCAAGGCAATTCCAATACTAAATTTTTTGTGGATTTAACATACATATATGCACATATACATAACTTTTGCTAATACTGTACTCACCTCTCGAGCCCAAAACAACAACCTTGCCCTCAATTCCTTGCATCATCTTGTAAACTATTTATTATCGTTTCTTTATTTCCTTATATATATCTGCTAAAATGATTCCAAATATCATAATAGAGTTAATGTGACGTCATTAACAGAAAGTCTCCTTTTTTTTGTTGACAACTTTATTTTATATCTTATAATTTCTTCTTCAATTTCTCCGTTGAAACTCGTCAATATTTCGTACATTCAAAACAAAATTCTTCAATTTACACAAATGTGTATTCAAATAGTCATTGCTTTTTTTGTTATTTCATAAATTACATTAACATTTACACACTTTTTAAATTTTATAACTTTTCGACCTTCTTCGTTTCATAATTTACGTTGTTATGAAAAATTTATATTATTATGCACTGTTTATGGTAATTTTGTTGGTGTGGTCAATTCAGAAATCAGCTGCGTTTGCATTGTTGAATTTTTCTACTCAGTAGCTATGTTCATTTTACATATGACTTTTTGACCAGGGTTGTTATAAATTGTGGAAGCAGTTAGACTGTTCACAATTTTTTTAACATATTATATATGATGCAATATAATTTATTTAATGTGTTTATTTTCAGCGGCTCGTTTATGTAACTTTTTCACTTCGTTTTCTCAGAAGATTTTTTCACGTTTGACGATTATTTATACACATTGTATATATACACATAAAAACATACAAATCACATTAACCATAAAACATATATTTTAAATTCACATTAATAAATTATTGTTTTTTAATTTTCGTCATATTTAGGAAATACATATATTCGCTTAAATAACTTACATCCCATTACCCTTTCCGCACCATCTACAAATATTAATAACTCAGATAATAATAAAATTAAAATTTTTTATAAATAATAAAATTATTTTTTCAAAGAAACTTATACGGCGTTTACATTGGCCGAAAATGGCTCATTTTGGTCAAAAATCGAAAATGAGTATCGAATGGCTCATTCTTGCATATAAAATTTCAAAAGCAAAAATGAGCAATTTTCTTCTTTATCACATTCTGTATGAAATGACGTTCGATGCCATTCCACATACGTTTCCAATCAAAGGAATGCCATTGAACATACCCTAAATGAAGCTCTTCATGGCATTTTGACAGTTTTTGAAAAAGCTGTTTTTTTAAAATATTTACAAAAAAGGTAAACAAATGTTGGTGTGTTGCATTTTCTTGAAAACGATGCACTTCTTTTTATGAACTTTTACTTCCCAAAAAGTAACTTAAAATCGAAGTTAAAAATATGTTTTTAAGTTTTTACTTACAGGTTGAAGGCATATTTACCTTCATGCAACATTTTTTTTTGGCCACAGCCAATCAAATCAACATGCAAGTTGAAAAATCAGCTGTTGAAATGAGAACAAATGAAATAGAACGAATGTAAACATTTTCATATGGCTCATTCAAAATGAGCCATTTTCGGCCAATGTAAACGCCATATTAGTCACTACCTTTTATAGCTTAGTTTGATTTGACTGCATTTTTAAGTTTTTGGCGCATTTCTCTTGTCAAAAAAACCTAAACAAAACCCAATTTTCACTTTTTCGTAGTAAAAAAAATTGAAGACCGTTTAAGGTGGTGAAACGTTCCGTTCGAAGTGATGAAACTTTTCACTCATGGCATTTTGACAGTTTGAGAGAGCTGTTTTTGACATATTTACAAAAAAAAGTAAACAAATGTTGCATTCCCTTGAAAACGATTTAACTTCTACTTCCCAAAAAATACTTAATTGAAGCTAAAAAAAGGAGATTCTTTGGTTTAAACGCCATATTAGTCATTTTCACATATGAGATTTTGTACGCAGAAATCAATCATATGATTTCAGTTGTGATTTTTTGACCTAAATCAGTCATTAAGAGCCAATGTAAACGTACTATTACTACGAGTAGCGCGTGGAACAGACCTATTTTATTGTACATATTGTAATGAAAACGTAAAAATATAATTCAGTCTTGCATTGTACGCACCCACTGCAGCTACAACTGCATTTGTCGTACAAACTGTCCAAAATTTGAATACAGTGAAACCCAGGTCATAGTAAACTACGTACAAACTGTCAAAAATTTAAATAGAGAGAAACCCATATCATAGTGAATTTAAGTAGGGAAGGACAATGATGCGACAACACAATACATTGGAAAACCATTTTTGCCTATTTTTTAGTATATAATTTGATGTTGTTCAGTGGCCTTACTTAATAAATTAGACCGTAGAATTTCGGTTAAGTTGTTCATTATTCATTAACTCTTCTTTGATTGTCCTATGCTTGCAATAACCCAATATACTGGTCTAGCTTAAATAGAAAATACCTTTGAATTGAACAGTTTTGTTACACGGGGTCGTTCTTCGCAAGTAACATTAGACGAAGACGTATTGAGAACTTCATTAGACGATTTCGTTGAGAATACTATATCTGTGTGAAGAGCTGTTAGTTTACGATTATATTTGCCTTCACTGATGTTAGCCCGATTGCAATTGATTTCGTTATAGACATGATAAGAAGAATCAAGAAGTCCATCTGAGAAAAAAGGTGGTACCAAACATGATGCCATTAGGGTGAGCATCTATGTGGCACGAGAGAATTTTAGCATTTTATTCCCATTTGGATATTGGTTCACCCAATAGAATATTGTTTAAACTGTTTTTAAGTATTGACTTAATTTAATTTGTTTAATTTGTTTGAAAATATTTTATAAGGTTTATTTTTACAATTCCAAATAACTTAAATTATATAGCTTCTAAGGATATAGTTTGCTTTTATAAATAAAACTATTATTTTATATATACACTGATCAGAATTCAGGAACAGCTCTTTGCTCTCCTTTTAATGGCACAGTAACGGTGAAATTATATTTAACATTAAAAACATAGAATAACAATTTAATTATTTTCTTAGGAAATATAAAAGAACACAGTTTAATCTCTACTATTTCTTTTCAATACTATACGTTATAGGATTTTGAAAAAGAGGTGGACCATTTGGTGTGACAACCATCTTTGGAATTTTCATTACGAGTTTAATCGTTGATGAAGGAATCTCGAATTCTGATTTAATCAGAGAAATGGCTGATTTATTGGTACCTAAAAAAGTGAACAAAAACTATTAGTTTTAAAAAATTAAAACACAAAATTCTAAAACATATTACCATCTGTAGATAGTTGAGCACCTATTGTTTGTTGTTTACTCAATATTTGTTCCAACTGACTTACACGATTTCGTAACTTCTCGTTTTCGGCTTGCAATTCAATATTTTTCCTTCTTAAATCTTTATGTTCATTACGCATTTTAACTCGATAACGTGTGGCAGCAGCACGTCGCCGCTCCATACAATCTTCATCAAATTTATAGTGTGCTTTGCCGGCAATAGTCCTCTGGCGATTATTGGTTTTTATAGGAATTTCAATACTGCGTCTATTATTTTGATTAAGTATAGCTTTCAAGCGTTCTTTAATGGGCAATTGTGAAGTTGGCGTGAGGCTAGCACTACTTGGTTCATTGTTAATACTTGGTGAGTTTATTGTGATATGATTTGTAGTAACAGCACTGTTTGCAGTTGAAGTATTATGATGTTTGGCTACTGTGGCAGTTGCTGGTTTAGGTAAAATGAATGGCTTTACGGTTTGTACTGGTATAGCATTAATTGTTTGCTTAGACTGTGTTATACTTTCACTGTCGTTTGGAAAACTTAATGTTATGAGTTGTGGTTGTATTAATTGTATTGATGTTGGTGCAATTTGTAGACAATTATTTGTTTCTGGTTTTTCTGCTATATTACGATATTTATTTTGTTTTTTTTCTTCACTGCAATTACTTCCAGAGGAATTTTGTCTATTTATATAAGCGGCACAATCGCTTAAGAGATCTACAACGGTTACATCTAAAGCGACACCGGCAGTTGATGGACTTTCTAATGTCT